TAAACCACCATAGCATGGTATTTTTTTTTCTAGGAGTTATTGACATATCACTCTGATTTATATAAGCATTTAAATCTTGCCTGTTCTCTTTGCATTTCCCAATTCTGCCTTTGAGCAAGATTCACCGACATAATGCTGTATTGACGTCTTGCCCGTGGACATGTTTTCTCCCTGGTCTCTGCTTCTTCAGAGTGGAAGTAATTGAACCATGAAAGGGTTTTTGAAGCCACATAAAAATACATTACAGAGTACTGCCGTGAGGGGGATGCAAAGATTTTGTTTTGCAGCAAGCGGAAACCACTTTTCTTTTTTCTTTTTTTCTCCAAGATGTACGGTTAACTGCAGCTCTTTTGAAACAAACTTGTTACTTGAGCATAAAGAAAAGATGATAAAAACGGTCACCACAGAGTCACAAATAAACTAGCTTGGAAACACAGGCTGCACATATGCTATAATAAACTTGTTCTCCTAATCATCCTGTAATGGACCAGTTTTTCAAGGGTGGGAGCACTTTGACACACAGGAAACTATTTTCAAACAACCTCCTGCTTTCTTTTTGAAACCTCTGGTCAGAGGGTTGAGCACACTTGACCCATGAACTTCAACACCCTCTTCATCCACTGTTTTGTGGGCTCAGCCTATGACTGAGCTAAGACTTGTTTCTCTTGCAAATTCCTTTCTCAATATATCATCATTGCAGTGCCAGAGATTGAGAGAGAGAAGGAATTTCATTTAAGAAGTCCCTTCTATCCATTCTTTCATTATAATTTACATTTCATATAATTCTTTCATATCATTTAGTCGTTCCTCATATGATGACACAGTCTGTTCACTGACCATTTGATGCATGTTACATACACAAATGAGAAAAGTTGGCTGAAATTTCCAGTTCCAATCTGGTTGGTTCTATGCAACTTCTTGAAAGTAAAGGGGGACAAATTTATTGAATAAAGCTAGGGATGTAACGATTAACTCAACTCACGATTCGATTCACGATTTTGATTTCACTATTCAAATCACAATTTTTCTTTTTTTTTACAAAATTAGATTTAAGACATTATAAATTAAATGTATCCTTTTTTTATTGCTTGGACAAAATGCTGCATGACACGTTTCTTTGTGAAATTGAAATCTAACACTATAATAATATACTAATATAGCACTTGCATATTATTGCTCTTTTGTTGGGTTTGATTGCTTCTATTGTCCTCATTTGTAAGTCGCTTTGGACAAAAGCGTCTGCTAAATGACAAAATTTAAATATAATGTAACTGTAAATAACAAAACTACATTGAAATTTTAAAACAAGCCCCAAATCAAATAAATAAGTAACACAAATTAAATAAATCTCTTCATATAAACAAACTAAAGCTTTGTCTGTGCTTTTCCTTTTAAAATTAGAGGCAACCACTGCATTTTAATTATGATCCAAACAAAGATGCTGCAAACATTTTTAATCTAAATTAGATATCATTTTGAAATTTGAAGCAAAAACAGAATGTTTGACTTCAGTTTTATGAAACTATGCATAAAAATATCTGCATGAAACAGCAGAGCTGAATGAGACACAGCAGGTGGCGCTTAAAGCATTTCCTTGGTTTCCGCTGTAAACAAAGCAGCGCTGCACTTATGAACTTTAATATGCATTTCTAAATAAACTTTTCTAAAGACAGTAAGTTCCCCTCAGACATACATTCATATAAACTCCTACCCCTAAATGAATCGCGATTTGTTTAGTATCTCAACCGATTTGAATCTATTTTCAACCGGCTCGCGGTTAATCGTTACATCCTTAAATAAAGCAATTTTTAGATTTTTTTGATTATTTTAGATTAAATGGCAATGTGAACTAAAGATGGTTGATTTATGTCAGTCAAATTGCCTCTTCCTTTCTAAGTGGCAGAAGATTCATGGCCAGAATAAGCTACAGTGAGCAGCAGTCAGTGGTCTGGTTATGCGAGTCTACTACTCGCATGGCTTAATTTTTTTCAAGGGGTGTCAAAGCAGTGGGGACAAAAGTAGGTCCAGACAGGTCACGTGGTGCAAGACATGGGAACTTTAATTAGTCTCAAGTCTGTGGGTATATCTGTAGTATAAGTCACGCCTCAGTAGTCTCTCACAGCTGACTGATTTTCTTTTCCTCTGGGCTCAGAGGATTATGTCAGTCGGGATGTCTGTCTGAACTTTGAGGACTCCTGCATCTTGAATGTGTCTGTTTGGGGGCCACACAGCCTATTTGCTCCATAGGTGGGCAGCCTCATATCACTGGAGGGCTGAGATCTGTTCTCAAACTATCATCTGATCTCAAACTATCATTTAATGCTGCTATATAGCTGGTGCTGAATGTCTCTGTTTTGGCAGGAAAAGGTGAGATTTTTGGAGCTTAAAGTCTTTACTGAAGTGGACATGAGATTGTCAAGAAATGGTCTGAATTCATTTCTCTTTGAACCATTTAAGTCTATATGAAATCAAAATGCAGCCTATTTGCTGCAATACGCTTCCCATTTTATTGTGCACAATTCCTCAGTTCAGATTATCTCTAAAAAAATGTTTGTCTTTTAACTTTCATCAAAACTACTTCTGCTTCTCAACTAGGCTGAATGAATAATGAATAATATGTGCCAACAAGCAAAAAAAAAAAAAAATAATAATAGATTTTATGTTTGTTCCTATATGGAACTTTTGGAAAAATATGAAAACAAAGGTCATTACAAACACATTAAGCTTCCATAATGTGCTATACATTATTGGTTAACAAGTTTTTTTTTTCGTTTCTCTTATTTTTTTTTCAGCAAGGATTCATTAAATTGATTTAAAAGCGTCACAATATTTTTTTTATAATGTTAACAACAAATTTTTATTTTAAATAAAGGCTATTCTTTTGAACTTTCACAGAAAATATTAAGCAGTACAAATGTTTTCAACATTGATAAGACAATGTTCTGAGCAGCAAATCAGCATATTAGAATGATTTCTGAAGAATCATGTGACCCTGAAGACTGAAGTAATGGCTGCTTAAAATTTAAGGTGTATTAAACTAGATAACAGATATTTTTAAATTGTAGTAATGTTTCGCAATATTACTATCTTTTTTTTTTTTTTTTTTTTACTTTTTTTGATCAAATTG